AAATACAAAAAGATCCTTAAATCAATTCAATTTCATGCAATAAACAATGCAAAGAGAACGGAACATAGAAATCATATTGTTGTATATAATAATTTTCTAAAAACAGAGACTAATAATATCTCTAGGGTTCTATGTGTTAAAGTTTGATTTAATTTCCTATAATGAAATCGTTTTGAGGTCCGAATTTCAACATAATATAGTAATTTGCTATATTGATGAACCAATTGTGAAACACAAAAACTGAAACCTACATAACTCCTTAATTAAGAAAAAAAAAAAAAAAATTCTTAGACAGGGAGTGAAAAAGAAGCAGAAACAGCACGGCAATTTTTTCTGAATAATTAAGAAAAAATAAAAAGTGATCTCAAAGCAGTCAAGCAACATATACTAGTTCCAGATTGAAATTTACTGAAACTAAAAGCATTAAAAATATATTAACTTGAGCCATATCAGCAAACCTAAAATCAATGTGTACTTACAACCACTTATAGAAGATTTAAAATACAAAAAGTTCAGGTACCGTATGTGTGTGTTAACTTCTTATGATCTATCATATACTCTGACTAGAGTTAAAATACAAATAGTCATTCCCTAGTTGGATAGAGGTTCTATTGAGTAGAATTATCACGCAACATTCTCAGTCACAAGAAAGTCTTATAGTTGTTTTTCGATGTCAATATTTCTTGAAATTCTAACTAAATTTTGTATTTGCAGAGACATGAGGGATTAATGCACTAATGTTCAAACAGCCCATAGGATATATAATTTTTATACATTATGTGCTAACTGAATTAACCTGTTAGTAATACGAGACCAGTCTTTGTCCATCATCTTTGTCAACCTACTTGAAACCTGCATGTACCTTTTGATGAAACAAACCATGTTTTGTAGTGACAAAAGTACATCAAAGCAACAAAGCATTCAATTTCATACACATTGTCCCCATAAATACGAGCCTTAAGCTATAGGCATCCAATTTGAATTTAGATACACAGTGAAGCACTTTGAATTTGATGGAAAAAATGAAAAAAAAAAAAAAAAAAAATGATGGAAAGTAAGAACACGGGAATGGTTTTTGGCCATTTCACCTATATAACAACACATATATTGCATATATTATATCAAGTGCCAAGCAATATAGAAATACCAAAGTGAAACATTATAGAGACATTTTGTTGAGCATTTGGAAGTCATACAAATATTCTGCTACAGAGAAGATCCTCAAATCAATTCAATTTCATGCAACAAACAATCAAAGAGATCAGAACATAGAAATCATGTTGTTGTATATAATAATTTCTAAAAACAGAATATTGGAGAAGACATAGCATGTAAATATAACATACACATATGAATTTGTATATATAGATTGGGAATGTAATATAAAAACTAATAGAATCATCACAATTTCAAGTATTTGACGAAAATATGCAAATATATATATATATATACACACACACATACACACACGTTATACATAGTTATAAATTCCTAATTAGAAAATTTTCACAAACACCGATTCTACGTTCGAGTAAAGAAATTGAATTTCTCATAACAATAGATCAACATAAATGGAAGCTAATGAAGTTATATGTGAATATATATATTGTACATATAGACATAGAGAGAACCGTATACGACATTTGAGAGCTGAGATTCAACTTTTGAAGGTCGAAGAAGTTGAGAGAGGAACTTACAGAGGACGCCATTGCTGTTTATATGTAGAGAGAGAAACGTAGAGAGAGGAACTTATGCTTCGCTTGGTTGGAGGGATGAAAAAATGGATGGAAGAGATAGAGGGATGGATGGATGAGGAATCCCTAGGGAACGGAAGGTGTCTCCTCCATTTTTTGTTTGATTGAATGGATTGGATAGTAGAAAGGATGGATGTGGTGATACTTTTTTTTGTTTGGTTGGAAGGAAGAGAAAGAGATTTTTTATATTTTTTTACCAATATATCCTCACCGTATAAAATAATAAAAAGTAGATATCCATTTGAATTTTTTTGAAAAGGTTAAAATTGAAAATTGTATATTGTTGGTAGTTATTCATTTTCTCTCTCCTCCCTTCCCCCCAAAATTGGGCGGATAGAAAAACATGAAGAAAGGAGGGATGAAGCATCCTTTCTTGCTTCCTCCCTCTCTTCCCTTCCCTCCAACCAAACACGAAAAGCCTCATCCATCCCTCCTTAATCCATCCCTTCAACCAAACATAGCATTACAGAGATACGAGTGCATAGATCCAGGTTTCGTTGGTCAAATTCAAACTCTCAGATCTACATATTCATCAGTGATGATAGAAAATCAAACTCTCAGATCTACAAATTCATCAGTGATGATAGAAGTCGACGCAATATAGCTCAATCTTTAGGGCTTTTCGGTAAAGACTGTGGAGTTATATAACATAATGGAAAAAACATGAATTGTGCTTTTAGTTGACCAGTGTTTTGAAGCAAAAAAACGTGAATTGTGTTTTATTAAATTAATTTAAATTAAAAAATTAAACATTACTTAAACACATTCATTAAATGCAGTAAATAAGAAAAAATATGTGGTAAATATGAAGTTATCTTTTAAAAAATTATTTGACACTAATATTTATTTTTTAAAAAAAAATTTAGTTTCAAAAATGAAATTTTTACTTTTTTACAACGTTTAAAGTTTAAATGTAGTAAATGAGATGTGGTAAATAACCATTTTTGTTGTAGTGTTTAATCGGATTTGTGAAGTTTCATGGTGACGATTTTCTACGTGGAGATATTGTTTCAGAAAGTATGCATGTGGAAGCAACAGAAAAAGTCTTACAGCAATTGTTTGGGATTCATGAAATTTATATTAATGGTTTTCTAGTATGTAATATTGGATGGGTGCCTTGAACATGACAATGCCACTTTATGATGGTCACGCCCATGGTGTTATTGACCTTCCTAAAACGCTTGATGCTGAACAGGAAGGCATAATGCCTACCTCATAAAAACTTACAGAAAAAGTCTTACAACAATTGTTTGGGGTTCATGAAATTTATATTAATGATTTTCTAGGATGTAATATTGGATGGGTGCCTTGAACATGACAATGCCACTTTATGATGGTGAAGCCCATGGTGTTATTGACCTTCCTAAAACGCTTGATGCTGAACAGGAAGCCATAATGCCTACGTAATAAAATCTTACAGAAAAAGTCTTAACAGCAATTTGTTTGGGATTCATGAAATTTATATTAATGATTTTGTAGGATGTAATTAATATTGGATGGGTGCCACTTTAATGATGACAATGCCACTTTAATGATGCTTATATTAAACATCATTCATGAATACGTGACCTATAAATAATGATTTAAGGTTATGCTTTAGACATCCAAGGTTAAGGTGATCCATCGAAGAAAATTAAGAAATGGAAAAGAAAAGCATGAAAGTACATATTTTGATGGTGGTGCTGGTGATGTTGATGCTCATAGAGCATTCAACAGCTAGATCATGCGAAGAAAATTGCGTACGTGAATGCATTAGCCCAGTGACTGGTGATCCGGACATGCAGTGCTTCAATAGATGTATGAAGAATAATTGTACTCCACCTCCACCTAATTTTGATAAAACCTTGGGAGCCAAGCCACCAAGTACTGCAATGGTATATCTCTCTCTCTCTCTCTCTTCCTTACACACACAAAAGTATTATAATGCTCACATAGAGGATCTCATATTTAGTGTTTTAATGTTTTTGTTGCAGGTACAGGAAAACGGAAAAGGTGCAAGAAAACTTGCCGAAAAAATTCAGTAAAACTAGAAACGTGTATGTATTTTGTGCGACTTCTAGATCTATATCCATGCCTATGGGGATAAATTTCATAAAGTTATTTGAAATTAAAATAAATGAATTATTAATGGCACTAATATAAGCTTTTCTTTGCTGGGTCTAAGCTTTTTCGGCAAGAAAACTTGCCGAAAAAATTCAGTAAAACTAGAAACGTATATGTATTTTGTGCGACTTCTAGATCTATATCCATGCCTATGGGGATAAATTTCATAAAGTTATTTGAAATTAAATAAATGAATTATTAATGGCACTAATATAAGCTTTTCTTTGCTGGGTCTAATTTTAATGTGATGTTGTCTATTATGGGATTGGACGATTTCCAACGTTTTTTTCTGAGAGCTATGCCAATATATAATGACAAAATCGCTCAATCATATATATATATATATATATATATATATATATATATATTATACACACACACATCACTTCTGCAAATATATATTGACAAACAAATGAGGATGTATTGTATATGTTCATGCCAAGTAATGGGCAGCTCAATAAACAGAATAGAAAAGATCAGTCTAAAACATCGGGCAGCTCAATAAGCATGTAATAATTTTGCCTATACAGAAAGTACTTGCACTTAGATTTTATCCAACTATATAAAGCCTTGACAAAACCAAATATATATGTGTATATATATATATATATATATATATATATATTAAAAAAACTTAATTATTTCTCTTTGTAATTGGGTTTTGATATAAAACGAAATGATGGTTAACTTAATTATTTCTCTTTGTAATTGGGTTTTGATATAAAACGAAATGATGGTTTTTGTAATAAAATTTCATTTTTTGCTAGTAGCAAACTGGAATTTGCATAATGATATGCTCTTATTGTTACATTAACACATCCCTTGTGGGAAGTGTATTGGCACTTGTATGTGTGGACGCTTCATCCCTTGTGGGGAGGTTATTGACACTTGTATGTGTGAACACCTCATAAATGTGTGGATACATTTTGAGAATCATGATTGTGCAAAGAAAACAATATCTACACAGTTGGATGGGTCTTGCTGGCACAAGATTCTTATTTTTCGGAAAGAGAGAATATTTCAATTACAATCCACAAACGACACACATAAGGGTAGAGAAGACGTAAATTTCCTCCCAGTTTTAAGCAAACAAATAATTTTGAAATATAGGGAACATGAAAAGATCAATCAGATTGAGCTATCAACTTCTTTTATTACAAACATTTCCATCCTTGAGGCACTTACACTTCAAACTACACACAAATTAGGCTGGCTACTTTATATGATGGTATATAAACAATAATGAATGAAACATCCTAAAAATCTGAGGCCAGTGACACTATGTTTTGAAAAAAAAAAATTATGCTATACCTTATTGTTGGCATATAATATAGTTGTATCAACAGAATTTAAAACTGCACTTCTGCTTTTGATTTTTTGTATTCCATTTCCTTTGCAGCAAAGCTTCTGGGCACGCTATCAGATAGTTAGATTCTCCTGAATTCCGAGAAATGATCCCACTATGTTTCCTCCCACGTCCGGGAAAGTTTCATATCCGGCAAGGGGCTTCACCTTTCCCTTCCGATCAACGTCAACTGGGTACTTCAGGAGGTGTCCTCTCATTTCTGTTATCTCGTCGTCTGCAAACTGCATCCAATTCACCTCGCCCATTGATCTAACTCGTCTCACACATTCTAAGGACTCTGGTTGTTTATAGCATTCATCGAGAACTCCAGTATGCTCTGCCCACAGAGACATTCTATATCCATAGATCTACAAAAGCACACATTTTCACATAACAATTGGTCAGTTACTGGCTCTGTAACTTAAGGGACATCTGTGGTCCCATAAAAATGAAATAATTTAACCATTTCGTGCAAATTTGAGTGAACATTAATCAATATACATCAAAACGAACTTTTAGTACGAATAGAATGTTTTCAGGATTTTGAGAAGTGAAATCAAATACAATTTCCTTCTCATTTTTGCCATGACTTGCCATTTTATTTGCAATGGTTCCACTCCACAATATGGATTTGTAACCCAAATGGTATTGAACAGAAAATGGAGACAACAACTACATGGACTATCCAAATTGCCACTTGATATATCTGGAAAATTTACTTTGGACTTGGGATATTACCTGAAAATGTAATTTTTAACCCTGCATTTTCATTGCACTTGAAGATGGTTTCAGAAATCAAGATCGTGTGCAGAATGAATTTTCAGTTCCTTTTTTCATTTCAAATGCATATTTGGAATTACATGTTGCTTCTCTATGTTGCAGTTTTGTGGGAATTTTATGGTTAAAAGTAACAAGCTTCTAGGTATGCTCTCTTCAATTTTTTTTTGCCTTCAATCAAACGAAAGTCAAATGAAATCTCTCTCTCTCTCTCTCTCTCTCTCTCTCTCTCTCTCTCTCTCACACACACACACACACAAAAATGCTAGAAACACATTGCTTAAAATATTTTGTTATATAAGACATGTTGAAACACTTCAAAAATTAATTTGTGTGTGTCTTTCCAATCATCCGGAGGGAGTGTTTTTGTTTCTTCAGAATTCCAAGAAATGACTCACAAGTTTTTATCTTTTCACTTGGTAGTTCCTTTCTATGGAAAAAAAAAAAAAAAATGTAAAAACACATAAAACTGATAAATGTTGTGTTGTGTACCATGGAAGACTGACTTTTCTCATTTTCCTAGCTCCCAAAATGCTCATTAATTAAATCATGAAAAATAAGCAGCAAGGTTACCTGTCCACAGGGATTAGATTGTTTGCTGGCCCACGTATAATGAGGCTGGTAAGCTCCCATTGCAATCTCTGTGTCTCTTGTTCCCTCCATAGAACGCTGATTGATGTTTGCAGACCCCAAAATTACAAATTCATCATCCACTATCATGCCTTTTGAATGAACATAAATCATGAATCTCCGGTTTTTTCGACTCAGTGCCTGAAAAATGCGAAAATGAAGTGCATTTAAGTGTAAATTAGTAGCAAAAGAACACAAATAGCAGAAACTATGAGAGCAAATGATTGAGCAACACCGAACATATTTCAAAACGTTTGTTAAAATAATAGGGGAACTAAAGAATAAAATCACTAATTTGGCCATCCTCCCACAGACAACCGAACTCTCCAAATTGAAGATACCAAGAAGCCCAAATTTCTCTACATAAAATAACAGAATTCATTTCCAAAAGGTTAAAAAATTATTTGCAATTTGAAAGGAACTCTTGTTTCTGACTTGGTGTCTTCTCAGACAAGAAGAAGTGCTAGAGAACACTGGATAAGGAAATGTTAGTTTGAGGGTAAAGGGAGGGACCTCAGGAGTGTTTGCATTAGTGTCACCAACTGAAGTGTCATTGCCCATGGCCTCACGGTTGCCAAGACAGAAGAAATTCAAATAATCTTGTGGCGTGAACGCATCCTCAAGCCCCACCTCCACCAAGGCCTTGTGAATCATCTCATACATCATTTGCATTGTTTTGTTCTGCGACAATGAATAAGAATGATAAGTTCACATTATTAAAATCATTACTTTAAGCTGCTTAATAGTGCTATACTGTTTAGCAGATAAATGAATATCTTGATTTCCATAAATAATTTACTGAAAACAAAAAAATAGCAATGTTCTAATATCCATCAAAAATCATTTTTTCCTGAAGCTGCTCTCAAACATGCTAAAATTTGATACACACTGAACTAAATATGCATTAAAATTGTCCAGTCTTGACAGACATATGAATCAAGGCCAAATTGAGTGACTACCTGCCAGAATAAAATTCTTTGTGTAGCAGCACCTGTTGGAGTGCCCTCCGGCCACATTGGGATAATAATATATACTGCAAACCTCTCGTGTGCTCTAATTTTATTGGCAATTTTAAGGGCAATTTCCATCGGAATCAAATTATCAGCTCCTGCAGATAAAAAATTTGCTCAAAATTCTGCGCCGATTTATGAATCTCAACTATAAAACTAACAAAAATCATCAATTTATTGCCCCTTTTATCCTGTTACCAATAAGACTACCAGAGAAGGGCCAGCAGATAGAGATCACATTGCATATATATATTGGAATATTGCAGTGTCACAACCTGTGATGTGTGTTTAATTACATCAAAGATCTGCATCTCATACAAGTCAAATTTTTAGCAACAATAAAAAATTTAACTTCATATACTAACTTTGTTCCTATCCTTTTGATTGCATTCTATCCTTTCCAAATGCTTTAATTTCTGTATTTTTTTTTATATTATTTAATTCCTTTGTCCAATGGCTTGTTGTAGTGCTAATAGCTCAAGCTGCCAAGCGTGATAATGAGGATTTGAGCCAGTAGACAACCATTTTTGTGCAAATAAATTTATAACTTAGGGGTCTCTCCCTACGTCCTAATCCCAGGTCTATGGTATGCCTACCAAGAGACTAGAAGATAAACTAGCTTGCAACTTTAAAATCTGTAATTCTTGACCTTTATGCCCCACTAACAAAAATGGCTGAAAAAGCCAGTATTTTACTCTCATAGTCCAGTCTAGGCCTGATTGAAACTGAAAAACTAAAAATTCAATTAAACATAAAATTAAGTAAGAGATGCCACCAAGTGGTCATTTGATATATGCGTAAGTGATGATAAGCTAAACAAAGAGACATAGACTGACTGTAAAGGCTATCTAGGGCAGAAATTGAGCAAGTACTAAAGAGAGAAAACTATAAAATCCAACAAGAAGATTTCAAATGGGGTCCCACCATTCCAAGGAGTTCTTAGAGATTTCAAGACACAGAGTTTGAGCTTTTCCCAGCAAATGGATGAAAGAAATGCTACTATGGAATGGTGCCTTTTCAAAGCCTTTCTTTGAATGATGCTTAATTCCAAGGCACCAATTTCATGCTACCGAACATAGCATATGTTTCTCGTTGGAAGGTCCTTAATTTTCTGTTGCATCTCTAACATATAGGTCCAAGTTTTAGCCCTTTTTTTTTTTTTTTCCTGAAGTGTAATATATCGGGGTTGTTCTGACAATGTAGCCAGTATTTGGTGGGACAATCTGAAACCATTCCCTTTCAATCCAATCACCACGAAAATCCTCGCTAATCACATCCGTTCATGGACTCAGGAGCACAGGTGTCTTTACTTAATTCATCCACCAATTTTTAGAGCATAAGGTCATGACTAAGTTCTAAGCATTGTTCATATTCTTTTATACCTTAGTGTAAAATTATATGTCTACATAACATGGTGCATCCAAACTTGTGTTTCATTAATCTGATTTATCGACCAGATTAAGTAGTATCAGTGAAAACTTCTAGTTTGCTTAAAAAGTATGGTGGTAATCTCTTGATGGTAGTTTGTCCAGTAAACATCCCAAACCCATAAACTGTAGTTTCATTTCATCAGTGACAAAGTTGGCACTCAAATATCTAAATTCACATAAAACATATATACATTTAATCCTCAGAAATTCAGAATAACAATATTTGACAATAAGTGAGAAAGCAAACTCTCAAATTCCTCAATGAATTATAGCTGTCATTTGATTTCTACATGTTGAGAAGAATAGTTCCTTACCCAAGTCTTTGTATTGACCCCAATTGTATGAGGACCCGATGAAGTACTGGTTTTCAATATAAATGTAATGCTGGGCACCACGAATGGCCTTTACATATGCTGTATGTATGCTCATGTCAATAAGTACATTCTTTCCGCATACCAGATTCTGTTAAAACAAAGTTATCAATCAATTTCCAAGAAAGCAAAGCGACAATGCGGAAGTAAGACAGAAGTAACCTTCTTTCATTCACCTTGCTGATCGCTTCTTTTGGATCCTTAGGAAAGCCTTTAACAGAATTCGAATCAATTGAACGAAATATCTGCACTTTGAAGAATGGCCAAAAAATGATAGAATATTGTCATACACAACACTAATAAGACCTTTTCAGTTTGGACAACCAAATGGTATCAATTTACCTGAACATGCCAACTCTCAGGATCATTCTCACCGAGGCAAGGAGTATCAGACACCCCATTCATTTCTTTTAACCTATCTATTTTGATCAAAGCATCATCATATTCCCTTTTCAGTTTTTTCATGCCCTGAGGTTTGGAAGCCTTTAACCAGCGCTCCTCAAAGTTGTTCAGGACATCATATGCAGCTGGACCATCAATTTTGCTGTGCAAGTCATGCCATGGTTCTCTTGGACACCCAGCAGTATTCCCCTGTTCGGGTAATAACATGAATTCATATGTAAACAAGAAGAAACCTTTTTTTTAATTACCAAACAATCCTTAACTACCCTATAGTAATATATGGGCCATACGGCGGTGGTGTTTACCTTTGAAGGTTTGGTCTCTAAGGTCTCTTTTCAAAAAATAAAAATAACAATAATAGAAAAATAAAAAATCTAAGTGGTAGAGATTTCAAATTAGTTTGCCTTTTCATTTAATCTCTAAAGTGATTTGAATCTGTGAACACTCCCATATGCTCCTCCAATAGAACTTTTGCACATTCATAAGCCTACCCTGACTGAGACAAAGCTTCTCTAAGCAAACTGTCTGCAAGTGAGTTGGTTTTTTCATTGAATTTACCCATTTGAAGATTTGGTCTCTAAGGTCTCTTTTCAAAAATTTAAATATAATAAAAAAAATAAAAAATCAAACTGGTAGAGATTTCAAATTAGTTTGCCTTTCATAAGCCTACGCTGACTGAGACAAAGGTTCTCTAAACAAAACTGTTTTGCTTGACTTGTACATGAGCAAATTGGATTTGTTTTGCAGTTCTGACCACCCATAGTTTTGTCATGTGTTTAAATGAACTTAATATGGCAAGTTTGGCTCAGATAATGGAATATAATAAAAGGTACTATTCTCTCAATTGATATAATAAGTTGAACAAGCATTGATATTGTAAAAGAAAGCTGATTGGTAATTTTTTTTTTTTTTTTCCCAGAGCTCATTTATGTTTCTGTAATAAAATATAGAGAGATACAGCATCTTGCTTGGTTCATGAACTTCCTAACAGTTGGTAGAAGCCAACAAGCCCCGTTTACTAAAACAGGTTAAAAAACTCAACCCATGGCCTAAAGTAGGAGGAAGGGAGGAAGACAGGATAGATGGAGCAAGCTTCCATTACTCGTAGAGGGGAGATGAATGATGCATCTCTCCAGCACCACCATTTTGCTTCCCTCCAAAATTGGGAGGAAGAGGAGAGAAGGAATATATTAGTAGGATAAACTTTAAAAGACACTATTACTGTCATTTGTGCACCAATTTATATATTTTAGGTTACAGTGGTAAATAACAATATCATAACTTTCTTTTCTTCTACTCAACCAAATAAAAGGAGGGATGGACTCCCCGCCTTCCCTAGGGATGCCTCTTCCATTCCTTCTTCTTTCCCTTCCATCATTTTTCCATCCCTCCCATGTGGGTGGGATGGTAAAACATTGCCAACCTATATTAATTTGCATCCTCATGCTTTCATTGCTTTTAGTAGAGATAGTAGCTAATCACATACTCAAGAAAGTGGGAATCTCCCCCCTCCCCCTCCTTTCTTGTGACAATGAGTTGCAGAAGGGGCATTACTCTGTTGCTTTTTTTAATATATATATAAATATAAATTACTAATAATAATATAAAATCAAATTACACAATACTATTTTGAACTTTTTGCTACTCTGAGTAACATGTTGTGTGAGGCAATCAAACAATAAGGGTGAAGACATTACCGTGTAAGTAGGATTATGATAGTCATCTGAATGCACAGTTTGTAGTGTCCTAAAAATATGATGATCGTTAGTGTCATATCGCCCATCGCATAAATCAAGTCCTCCAACAAAAGCAACTATTTTTCTTCTATTATTGCCAGCATCAGCATCCACGATCACAGTTTTCTGATGGTGTGTATAAATTGTTCCAGTTTCCTGACAATAAAATAGCAAGAAATAAGTTCAATGCATAATTTTCCACAGAACGCCAAAAACTGAACAATATCATAGGGCAAACTCAAAATAGCCTTTTTCCCAACATTCATAGGGCGAACCAGATGTGCAAAAATAGTTAAAGGCTTAAACAAAAAATTAAAAGAATAACAAAAAGAATAAAGTTCTCCAATAAGTCTAATTAATCTGATAATTTTCTCTTCCACATTCCTAGGTGGAAAGGAACTTAAATGGCACAAGCATTATCACTCATCATTCAGAGGCACATTAAAATTAACACATCAGCAAAATGAAGAACTGTTGATATGTGTTCAAGAAGTTTAACTATCGAGGTAGCAGCAAATAATCATATCCATTGAAAATACTTTTCTGTTGATCGAACTTTACTGTAGAAATGACTGCAAATTTAACTATTTACTATATAATTTAAACTCTAATGACGGATAGTAATGTTTTACAGTCTGACAACAGTAACTCCAAAAGAAGAGTTGAGGAAATTTAAGATAAGTGTAAGGATGACTAAAACAAGTGGGAGCTTTCAAATCAAGTTCATGGAAAGATAGAAGAAGGATGTGTACACAATCAGACTGAGGAGATTAAATGAATGGGAAACAAAAGATATTTGATTGAAATTCAGTATTTCAGTATCATACAGCAAGGTCATGCAATTACAAATACAACATGAGGCGTTTCAACAAAATTCATATGTAATTTTTACTGAGAAACTCTCAGTATCAGAAACTAAAATAATGAACATTTGCACTGTTAAATTTTACCTACATTGGTAATTTTATTTTTTGATAGATAGATTATGTTAAGGCCAATTAGGGAGGGGATTTGAATATATAATCATATTAAACTCTTGATATGAAACATTAAGCATTTGCCAATAATTCTCCAAGAAGCACTTCAGCCACTAAGGGCCTGTTTGGCAACTGTTTCCGTTTTCATCCGAAACAGAAACACCATTTTTCTGTGGAGTGTGTTCAATGGTGATTGGAAGCGTGTTTGGTAACCTAAAATTTGTTTTAAGATTTTTGTAAGCAAAAACATGAAAACGTGTGGCTAGTTAAAAGAGGTCATTTAGAGGGTTTTTTTTTTACCCCGGGGTACTGTTCCCCGCTATAGTGTGAGAACATTAGGAAACACCAATTTGGCGTTTCGTATTTGGGCCTTTTTTTGGCAACAAATGCGATATTATTCAAATCACAACAAAAGTTACAAGTTTCAGTGTTTTGCTTTACTACAATACACTATCTGCAACAGAAAACACGAAACAAAAGTGGTTGACAAAGTGACCTTAAATTTGCTACTTAACTAAAACCCAAAACTAGGTTTACTTTTGCTGTTAAAAAATTATATGGCTTCATGTTAATTCAAAAATTACATGTTTGAGTTGGTTTTGTCTTGAAGTCATTATCTCAAACAATTTGTATCCATATTGGGCACCTGCTAAATGGTGGCAAAATACCCAATTTGAACTCATTAATTGGTTGTCCAGCAAGACCAATATTCCTTACATTTCTTTGTGATTCACAAATACTTTCTACTGAAATTTGAAGATAAGGCATGTGAATTGTATAAAACTAACCAAAAAAGAAAGAATGAAAACATAAAAATAAAAATAAAAAGGACAAGTTATATATATATATCGACAGACATACCCTCTGCTTATACCAACTGTGTTTTTTTCCAGCCACGCGGGGACAGAGTAGTACTCGAACTGAAGAGTGCTTGAAGAAACGGCGAGTTTCTTCATCATGGGTTGCCATGATTCCGTCCTGCATTTATCAAGTTTTAGTCAGATAAGTGATATATTTCCTTTGCATGTGAAAAAGAAAACAAATAAAGAAGAAAAAGGTGGATATATATATGTGTGTGTTAATATGTGTATTAAAGCTTTACCCAAAAACTATTTTGGAAAGTTTTATGCATAGAAGACAGTCGACCGAGAAAAGAGTATAATGGAAGAAAAAAATTTCAACTATCACAAACGTACAAACCTCAAGATTAAAAGTTTATGATAAAAAACACAAAGCAAAATACCTCATTACAACAACTCAAAGTTAGTGGACTAGTGTAACAGGTTAGATCCGATGTGTCCTTACATTCACTCATATTCCAACTCACATAGCTATCGTTTGGATTGGGGGAAGACCCAGTAACAATCTGGATCTGGACACATTCGAACTCGCAAACACCTTTTTTGTAGTTAGACCATCTTGTCTATCCATCTTTGTCTCTCTTAACGGCGGGAAATTCCGAATACACCCGAACTCATAATGCTCTCATTACGATGGAACCACCTTACATACACATTCCAACCCTCCTCACTGCGGGAAGACCCAATAATAACTGGGACCCAGACACCACTTGAGTAGACACTTTACGTGCCACCGGATTAAGAACTAAACATATTCTGATACCATTTTGTAACACAACACACTCTTAATATACAACTCAAAAAACTTAAGTTGTGTGATTTTGTCTACCACCTTGTAAGTCCAAGACCCTCCCACTGACCACCTATATTTTAGTACCGCTGGATTGGCTGAAATGGAAAATCCTAATTCGTGTGGACCTGGTATTAGAAGTTGCATAAAATGGCTGAAGATTTGGTCCCTAGTACTCTTAGTCAATTATTTGTAGTCTTCCAAACAGATGCTGCACTTGGACTATTTGCAACATTCTTATTGGAATTGACAAATGCTAAGACAAAAGAGTCGAAGAGTAGAAGGCCCACTCAATGTTTTTTTTTTCTTTTTTCAATATTATAAAGATCATATGATGTTAGATTAATGTACTTGTCGTATTACTACTATATATATCATACAATTGCTCATGACTGACTCAATATAATTCTTAAAATTTCTCAACACACACCACACATGTATAATATGTAAATCAAGGTGATTAAACAACTTACAGTTTTGTAGCCCAAAATGCTCCTTGAAGTAGGGTCATCCCAAACAAGAAGCAACACTCTCACTCCTTCCTGTGACTTGGACTTGAGAAGATCCCCGAGTGCTGAATCTCCTTTAAAGCCAGCATCCCTCACCAACTTAACTTTGTGCCACACTGACCATCCAGTAATATAAATCAAACGCTGCGCTTTGTGTATTGCATCAAAGATGTCATGCCAACACTTTCCATTCACGTAGTTCTTCCCATCGAGCTCCACCCTGGGGAGCCCTCCCTCGGGAACATGAGCATCCTGATAAAGGGTCACAACCCCACCTTTCCTAAGAGGGAAATAGGTTCCGGGAACCCCATGATAATCCGGACCAGCCCCGACTCCATGATGGTATGAGCTCAATTTCTCAATTGGTGTATACATGATTGAAAGACTCAATACAGCTCCAGCCTTGCAGGGCTTGCCACCACTATTCAGGATTGGGAAAAAACCCTCAACTGAAGCCCCAGAATAGATCCGGTCCACCGGTATTGACACGGTCCCTATAAGCTCAGACCCCACAACATCATGGTCCTTAACAAGGAATTGCACTTCAGAAGCCTGGTGTGCAATAGGGACAGAGAAATGCTGCATCCAAACAGGGTTTTCGTTATCCATGATCACATAAGTCCTCCCTATCACAGCACCCGTTACCGAAATCGACACATACGGATCACTAGTGTTCTTGTCCTGCCCTTCAATTTTACTTCCCAACCCCCCAAACATGTCCTCAAATGTTTTGGTCAATTTGTCCATGTTAGGAAGATTTTTGGCCTCATGCACCCAAATATCTAAATTCCCATGTAACAACAATGCCTTGGAAGAGTCTTTAGAATTTGAAACTGGGACAAGTTGCATAATATTCCTATTGTAGGGAGCACTATCAACCGAATTCGAGTGGGTTAAGGCCGGTCGAGCTGCAGGTGGTCTGGCCTGGTCCAGGGGCGGGGCAGAGGGATCCCAATCGGACGAATGTGACCGGTGGTGGTTGTATTGGGGGTGGTGGGTTGGTGGAGGAGCTGCATTGGCATTGGGAGGAATAGGATATCCGGGATAGGGATAAGGAGGATAGCGATAATCCATGGCGCCAGAATGTGCCGGAGGAGGTGGTGGATATTGATATGGAAGCTGAGGAGGAGGACCACCAGGCTGTGCAGTATTGTAATAGGGATTGTAATATGGAGGGGGAGGGTATGGACCAGGAGCAGAATTGGGAGGAGGGTATGGACCAGGAGGATAGGGATTAGGTTGAGCGTGGTGAGGATAAGGAGGATAGGGATCGGTATATGGAGATGAAGATGATGAAGAATTGTGATTATTGTCCATTGATGAACAACAAATTTCAGATAGAGAGAGGACTTAGCCTTTGAGAGGCTTAATTTGGTTGGGAATGATGAGAAATTTTAGATGAAATTGATCAAACAATGAGGAAAAGATCATATATAGAGAAGAAATGAAATGGGTTTTTGTTTGTTTAATTCAAGATCATCAACAAATAATTGAACTGAGATTGCAAAAATTAGATATTGCTAGAGAGAGAAAGAGAAAGAGAGAGATAGAGAGAGGGAGGGAGGACATTGGCTTCCAAAATACCTGCAACATGGGCGCAGGTAGAAGTTTACGTGTCCCTAACAGTGCTATATACAGATTGCATGAAATTAAATTAGAAAAAGAAAAAGAAAAATAGGAAATGAAAAAAACCAATTGAAAATGAAAATTAATTTAGTGGGCCATGTGTGAAGACAGGGCTATGTGATTGGTTACATCCCAGGACGTAATGAAATCATTGAACAAATGTTGGTTTATTTGGTAGCTCATATGGGTATTGTTCTTCTCTTGTCTTATTGGAAAAGGTCAAACGTTCCCTAAAAATTCGAGATAAAGGAAGGTTCCAATTTATTATCGTCCTCAAATCTTTTTATGGTAATTTATAATTTCCGAAATAATGAAAATTTATAACTATTTTTTTATATTTATAAGGGTTAAAATCACAAAAACCTTCCATACTTTCAAAATTGTGGATATATCCTCAACATTGGTATGTGAGGTGATGTGTGTGAGTTTCTTGCCAATATATATATATATATATATATATATAATGATAATAATAATAATAATAAATAAACCTGAACTAAAAAAAAATTATCAAGTTGCCCACTTGCTCCCATATTCGTAACCGACCCGTTAATTTGGTTGTGAAAAGACAAAGTTGATAACTTTTTTTAGTTTAGAGGTTTTTTTTTTTTTTTTTTAAATTATACTGGAGGTTTTAAACACAATTTTGAATGTACAGGGAGTTTTGTGAATTTAACCCTATATTTATTTAGGTCGCACTTTTCTCATTTTTGAATTATATTGTTTCAAAATATATATATATATATACACACTAAAATTAACATTACATAGAAACTTATATTACAATTATTTATAAAAAAAAATTAAATTTTAATTACATAATACAAGTTTGGCCCCCTCAAATCAAAATTCCTAGCTCCACCCCCGAATGAATACAATGGACATGATTTGTGGTTTAAAAGGACATCTTGGTTATTAAGGGGTTCACGGTGCATCCTAGTCATGTCATATATTGATTGGGATGATATGATGAATTTTTTAGAAGTAAATGAGTTTTTAGATGTCTTTCTTAGTGTAGGGGGTTATATGATTGATTTTGGATAGTATAAGACGGTTTTATGATTTTAACTATGGTGATTAATTTTGTCATTTTATGTGTCAGTTAAAGCCACAGCGTGTGGGGGTAAAATGATCACTTTTGTTAATTCTGTGAATTATTTGTTTGTGTAAAGGGTTATGTGATGTTTTGGGATAGTGCAGGGCTAAGCCATGATGAACTTTTTTTTTTTCCTTTATTATTTTAAAAGTTGTTCAGGTAATATTTGGTTAATATTTTTTAAAAAGAGATAGGGTCTTGAATGAGCATTTTTTAAAAAGCTGGTGCTTAGGGGAAATCCCCAAAAATAAAAACAAAACAAAAAAAAAAAAATAAACAAGACATTAAAATTTTTTCTAAAATACAATTTACAAAGTATAAGATAAATAGAAGTGATAATTTCTCTTTTATTTTTCTTCTACATAAAAGCAGAAATGAAAATTATATCAAACAAGTCCCAAGTAAGCAACTTATATAACTATTTTTACTATTTTGCCCCCGCAATTTGATCACTCAATCTCCCTATATACTACCAAACAAAGAGTTATGGTTAAGAATAAACTTGTAATCTCATTTATTGACCCATCCATCCACTTTACTATTTTTAAAAGAATATAAAACATCATTGTATCATCGTGTTGACATGTGGTAGAACTATCAATCTTAGTCCAATGTCAATGCTAATTTTCTGAAAAGAGAAATGTATTGATGCCACCAATGTTTGTTCACACAAATTTATTACTTATTTATCAGCTTTTGAAAAGACAGAGAAAATGGTATGTTGGGTTTTCAAATCGAATCTATGAATCTTAGCTTCACCATTCGACGTCTAACTTTATCGCATTTATCCATATCCAAAATAGTATATACAAAAGAGTGATTAACGGTAATAACAATGTACCTTACCAAAAAAAAAAAAAAACGTTAATAACAATGTACCTTGTGTTTTGTCTTTTCTAGTAATAGATTCAGTTTTAACATTTTTCATTTGTTGATCTCAAGCGAATTAAATATGTAAGTCGAATAAATTCTCTTCGTTCATTATTTTTTATTTTTTATTCTCCCCGGAGCAAAAATGAAAAAAATTATTTATAAGATTAACATCAATTACAATCTTTCTTCATAACTCTTGCTATTATAGCAGACAGAGCTTTCATAGATAAGGATCTTCTAAGTTAAGTGTTACATGCTTAAGTTGAATATTAGACTCTTGTGATCGATGTTTCATGTCACCCATTAATTTAAAATAATACTTGAAACGGCATAGTTTAAAAACATTTCGGTAGATATAGTAAATTGTAAGCCATAAATTTACATGTTAATTTTTTGACAATTCAACTTACGATACTTAGAGGATCCATGTTCTCCTAATCAATGCTTCTCTTTCCCAAATATAAATAAATATCAAAATTAAAAATAAAAAATTATATAATTACATTGATCTCTTCTATAACATAAACAAAATTCTCCTTCTCATCAAACAAATGTACCAAACTACAAAGTGTCATACAAATATAATTATTGATGCAGATGATAAAGCTAGGGTTTTTCCTGTGAGAGCATTTATATATGAATGAGGAAGCGTGGCAAATAAATGTATCTAATTTGGATCCCACTAGAATATGTTCAGATGTTCAAGGAACTTTGACTGGCCTTTTTGGTCAGTTTTGTGGGCTTTGAAATAACTTTTGTATTCATGGTAGTTTTTTTTATCTTTTAAAGGTACCAAAACTCTCCATTCAATAGATACACTCAACTAGTTCCTGGATCAAAATTATCTCCATCGAAACGAAACAATAGACGTGTCTCCGTTAGTGATACACGTTACGAAAATATTATGATGCAACGTGCATTACTAACTGGAGGGGACAAGACACTATGTCGCAGGGAAAGATTTTAGTCCCTAGATCCCATATCTCTCCTAATTGAGTTTATTTAACGGATATGAAGCCTCCAATGGACTCTCAGCTTGGTGTGACCAAATGAATTGGGCCCAGCCCAATATAGAAGCCTTGGAAATCGGAAAATAACCCAAACTGGAAATCAATTTTATCAGGCCCGTTGTGCACTAATAAAACCCCAAGTCAACGGACCTGCATAGAAAGTCCAGTCCAACAAAATCTCAACAACTTTCATTTTTATGGTTTGGTCCAATGTTGATATACCTTTCCTTTTGAAGAAAAAATATCCTTGTAAAATGAAAAAATGTGGATTGTGGTAATAACAAACAGCCCTTTATTTGGAATACAATCACTGTTGAATCCGCGCTTCAAATTACTGACTTAGCATTGGAAATTAGTCATCGGTGAAAAAGTTTCGCAAATTCAAATATAAGTTGTCATTGACTCATTAGTGCTTCATTTCTATATATATATATATATATATATATATATATATATATATATTGTTTGGTAGAATCAAACACATCGTTATATGGGGCACAAGATTAATGTGGGACTTAGATAATGATTGGTACTACCTGTTTCATCCACCAAGTCACTAACTAATGCACAAGATGTCCTCGTGTGAGAATTGAAGGCTTTCAAGTGTTCTTCCATTTTTTTTTTTCAAACTATGGTGCTTTTACAATCATTATGTATTGTTATCTACAGTACTAATGGAAAACAAAAGGATAACAAATTCTCACTCTACAGACATTCGTATCTGTAAATTAAAGAACGAAATAGGAGAAACAACAATTTTATTGATTCTGTAAAAATTGACTATAATCCTCTAAGATATTCTTTACAAAAGAAATAGCTTATCCTCTGATTCGGTTTCCTTTGTCAATTGAATCCAAAAGTCGTTGGAGCTTGATCTTGAATCAGATTATTGAAAGTTTTCTTCATGTACTTGTAATTAAGGAAGACCATCAACGATTTTTGATCGATTGAGGACTGATGAAGCTTGACCTTGAATAATGTTGTTTGGTGATTCTTCAAACTTGTTAAATTACGGGAAAGAACAATACAAATTTAAATGTTCTTGTTATTCTTCATCGTTAGAGTCTTCAATTTTATTGATTTTGTAAAATTTGAGTACAATCCTCTAAATTTTCTTTACAAAAATAATAACTTACCATTTGATTCGATTTCATTTGTTAGTTAAATTCAAAGGCTAATGGAGCTTGATCTTGAATCGGACTATTGAAAGTCTTCTTCAAATAGTTATAATTGAGGAAGAACATTAACGATTTCTGATTAATTGAGAGGGCTGATGAAACATTTCGAATAATGTTGTTTGATGATTTTTCAAATTTGTTGAATCACGAGGAAGAATGATACAAATTTGAATGTTTATGTTATTCTTCGTCTTTAGAGTCTTCAAATTTGCCGGCCAGATGTAATTAACAAATATTACTCGAGTACAATTCTAGTTCTCCATGAAGCCTATAAATGGGGATAAAGGAGAAGAAAACAATAAGAAAGAGAGAGAAAATAATCAAGAGTCGAGGAGAAAAGATATCAACATCACAACATGGATGGCAACACGGTAGGTTTGGCTAAACTTTACTTTGCTCCGTTAGAAAATTAATTATACCAACTCCTCACCTACTCCAGGATGGGTTTGTAATTAATATACCATCTCCATCCCTACTCTAGTAAACAAAGTACCAACTCTGCCCCGCGTAGTCCGTTTAATTACGGTGCGGGTT